GTAATTATAATTTCATATGATGCTCTGTTGATCAGAGTTTGATAAGGAGGAAGAAAAAGAAGATCCCAAAACGTGGTTGTCTGCTGACACACACTCACACACACACACATATTCACAAGAGACAAACAGATGTTTTATGCATGTGTATATGCACAGAGGGTGTGTTAACTATAAGGAAGATCTGCTAAGTGGGTCAGCGTGTCTTGCCCTGCTGTGCCAGTACATGAACATATGCGTGTTTGTTACGTGTGGCTTCAAACACAACAACTGGAAAGAATGCTCACACTGAAACCTAGAAGTCTACTCCAGGCAAATACATGGAAATAAGCAAGAAATTGCTCACAGATTCATTAGGGAGGTCTGAGGCGTTAGTTCACTCGCCCTGGCAAAGTGAGAAGATGGAAATGTAACAAGATACAGCACAATAGGAAAAAAGAAAACTAAATTACTCTCTCTCTCATTCGCTCACTCACTCGCGCTAAAAAGTGCTACGCAAAGGTACAAAGAGGCTGTATTTGATTCAAAGACAATGAATTGAGATTTCACCACTCTGCAGTTTGTGAACGTCTGAGCCAGCTCTGTGCAAAAATAATGCCTCCGTCCAAGAATAAAACTGGAAAACTAAAGCAACACAAGTGCTTCAAAGTCAAATAAAAACACCCATTAAGATGAAACAACTCGCTCAATAGAGTAATTAACGCTTTATTCTGTTATCAAAACCTTCACACAATCAAGGGGGAACACGTTAACAGAAAGCCACAAATTCAACTGCACAGTCTGCACTGTTCAGCACTTCAGTCTTTGAAAAATCTGTGGAGATAACTGAAAGTTGACCGAAACATATTCAGTCATATAATATAATATAAAAACAATTATTATATTATATGATATTATATTCTATTATACAGTGGGTACGGAAAGTATTCAGACCCCCTATATTATATTATATTATATTATATTATTAAAAACCAATAAAAACTTTTTAACAAACATATTTAATATCTAATACTCAGACAATTATCAGGTGTTAAATCTTTCTGAGAAATCTTCCAGGCAAATGATTCAAGCTGTGTAAATGGCAATTCCCAGTGAGAGAAAACCTTGCTTCTTGCTTGCACAATGCTTCTGTGTGGACTTTTTCACACCAAGGAAGAAATGTGTTCAACAACAAAGGACTTTTTTTTGTCCTATAGGTCAATTTATTTATTTACTGCAAGATATCCTTGCTCTCCAGGAGCAAATAATATATAAATATATGAAGCTCTAAAGGTAAAAAAACAAGTGTGTTTAATGAATATTTATACTGAAGTTACAAAAAAATTGTAAAATTTGTAAAAAATGAGCGTGAATTTAACGGAACGAGACACTGCGTCCTCTAGGGGTCGCTATGGGGAATGCCTCGTCGTGACCCATGTCTGAAGCATACATTGAAAAAACACCAACTCGTTGGCCGGCGACAGCCATGACGTCACTACCGGTGCGACTATAAAATAGGCGCAGGGAGCACACATCATTCACTTCTTCGTCTGAAGCCTGCGTCCGCAGCATGGCAAGAAATCTAGAGGACGCAGTGTCTCGTTCCCTACTCAGGGAACCATGGTTATATAAGTAACCTGAGACGTTCCCTTTCATGGGAACTTCGAACTGCGTCCTCTAGGGGTCGCTATGAGGAACGGTATACCCACGCCACCATGCTGAGGGGAGTGCATGCCAGAACCATGGCAAGGGATGCACACATCCTTAAATGCTTTGCTAGTGCTCGCCATAATGAGATAAATAGAGATCGCTCTTACCACAGAAATGCATGCTTCAAACAAAACAGTCAATGAAGACGAAGAAGAGAATGATGTGTGTTCCCGGCGCCAATTTTATAGTCGCACCAGTAGTGACTTCATGGCTGTCGCCGGCCAACGAGTTGGTGTTTTTTCAATGTATGCTTCAGACACGGGTCACGACGAGGCGTTCCCCATAGCGACGCAGTTCGAAGTTCCCATGAAAGGGAACCTGTTAAATGGTTAAAGGTAAATTCCCCTACTATATACGGTGAAAAACTGTATTGGACATTACATGTATTGGACATAAATTATATGGTAGTTTTTGGAAGTGAAAAATACCATATAAATTACAGTGAATAACCGTAAATTGACATTCCCAGAATTCCCTGCGTTGCATTTCAAATTTAATGTTTTTTTGTTGAAATAACTATGTTTCTTCTTAGTTTTTTCTTATCAGTTTTGTATATTAGGGTTGTGTGTTACACCTAATGTTAGTAAATGAATGTTTATTGCATTATTTCAGTTTCATGAGTGTTACCATGTGTGTTTTGTGTTTGTGTGAATGACACTGTGCACCTTCTATATATGTTATTATTTAAAAGCTGCTTGTGATGGGCTTTGGTTCATCATGTGACTTTCTCATCACCACCTGCATTTGGTGGTTATCAGTGTATTACAAAGTTACAAAACAGATTTCAGTACTTCAATAGGTTGGTATATTAACATTATATCAGTTAATCAAATGACGGTATTTAACTGTAAATTTAAGTTCAAACCGTAAAACCTAAAACATTGCTACCGTATTTTTTATGGTAAAATTTCGGCAACCACAACTGCCGTTTTTTTTACCGTAAAGTTTACGGATTTTTTTTACAGTGTAGTGGTGCACTGTTTCATTGGCATTATAACTTGTTATATTCCCATATCAGACTATCACTATATCACAGCATTAAATTGTGTGAAATTGATACTGTCATGGATTTTATTTTGTTTTAAGGAATGAAATAATTAGTGTAGTTATTTTATTTTGAAGTTAGCAAAATCTGTTTCTGTCAAACATCATCTTATTAGTATTCCCATGTACAGCATGCTTACATTTTCACAAATTAGGGCAGACACTGAAACAACATCGCTGAATGGACAGCATGTAAAACACAAAACCTTTTTACATATCAACAATAGAGAAAAACAAATGTTTATGAATCTAAAGTTGTTTATGCGTAAAGGGGTTTAAGTTTTACATATAAATACTTGCAAATGCAAACGAGAACACCCTGTTTTGTTTCGAATTAAACAAAGTTATACCTTTATCATCACATGCAAATTTTGCTACTTACGTACACTGACTGGCTCTATACAGGAAAATTGGCCTTGATAAGGTATGATAAATAAGAGTGCTTAAAAGAGTCAAGATGACCTAAATTTAGATATTCTTTGCTAAAAAGTATTTGCACATCATGCCCATCTACATGAAATGTCCCCAAAACAGAATGAAACAGAAGACAAAAGAAAGGTAAAAGAAAAAGAAATAGTAGATAGACTTGTCCTTAAGTGATAAAAGATAACAAAAACCATTAGACCAAATACCTCTTTTCATAATGTGAAAAAAACAGGAAGCGAGAGGTAAGAGGAACAGACAGTGACTCAAAAGTCCTTGAAGGAACAACAGCGCTTTAGTTTACCCGAATATGTGCACACAGAAAAACCTTGTCACTTTGAACCTAAGTGCATCTTACTGAAAAACTCTCCATTAAAGGAACTTCTCTCCTCATAGACTCTGGAAGATATATTTGTCTTATTTGAGAATACATGAGCATTAGAAGAACCCTATTAATCCAACACAGGCACAGGGGCTAGTATCAGTGTGGATATCTCTGGTCAGAGTATTACATGGCGCTGTGAGGACTTCAGCGCAAGCCAGGGGTCATATGGGATTCCAGAGCTTTTTAGAGTTTATCTCCGATAACATCTGCAGGATTTCTATGGAAACAAATTACAAAATAATATTCCTATAAATACCATTGGCTGCAACCAATCTGCTGTGGCACCCAGGGATTGCTTGCAACAATAGGTGGTGATCCAACATGTATTCAATTATTTACAGACAGAAAGCAAAAATGAAGTGTTACAGGATGTTCTCCAGCAGTATGAACAAGGTTTTTTTTTAAACACACAAGCCCCAGAATGCATTTACGTCATATGGCTTTTTTAATTAAAAAAAAGGTAGCACCGCATTTATTTTTTCTTCTGTCTGGACTCTCTTTTGCTTATTTGTTGCTTGCCTGTGTGTCAGAAAGCCAGAGGGAGAATTTCCTCGCAAAAAAAAAAAAAAGTTTCGATCTCGCCTGTTGCTTCCAGTCAAAATCACGCTTATTTCCCCCATCCTTCTATATCTCGCCGCCGTGGGGGAAGAAAGGGTGAGGAAGGGTTATGTAAATAATGGAAAAGGGTAATGGGCCTTTAAATACATTATTGAACTACAGGTGTCTGTGAGAACACACAGACACGCAGATAAGGACACACACAAACACACATTTTCAGAGACTCTCTAGCCCAAAGCTTCTTGGATCTTCAATATCTCTTTATTGTGCTGTTTTCATTTTCTTAGTGGATCTATCTCCAAACAGTCTATTTCCCACAAACATTGTGAGTAAAGGACAATAATATTTTTAATAGCCTCAGTTATTCCCTCAGATGGTTTGAAGTAATATTGTGTTGCTATGAATACCAAGTTTGAAAAAAGCAGCATGTAATAAATGTCATCATATATAATGTATTTAGCACTCAATTAATAAATGATTAACATTAGTTCAGTGTTATTTAGTAATATTTATATACTGTTATTACATTTATTATTAGTTTGAATTAGTTTTTATATTTTTAGTTTTCATTTTATTTTAGATGAATCTTTATCTGTACAGCTTTATTTATTTTTTATTTCACTTTTAGTAATTTTAGTAGGTACTTGAACTTGAAAACTTGGAATATATAGTACAGTAGTACAGTACATAGTACAGAATACATAGTATAGTCATATGGACCACTTTTATGGTGCTTTATTTGGAGGTTTAATGCCATCTGGTCACTGTCTGCTTTTGGAAAATAGCAGTGTGTTGTTATATAGGTTTGGAATAACATTAGGGTGAGTAAATGATGACAGATTTGGACTTTTTGGATGAACTATGCCTTAACAATGTATTTTCACTATGCTTTCTGCAAACACACCTGTTTTTGTGTTTCACGGGTAGAGCTGTGATTTGGGCTGATGTTGATGAATCGTGGCCTGTGTATGACCTTGACTCTTCACTCAGGTGGAGAGAGGAGACTTTCCAAGCATCTCTGTTCAACACCCTCAGACGAGTTCTTCACATCACTCCATCCCTCAGGGACGCAAGAGATTGTTTTTCCATGTTTCCCCTGTTTTCCACGTCTTTCCACTTCTCGCTCCCTCTTGCTTTCCTCCTTCAATTAATCCCACTGAGACTACCAAAGAGAAGAAGGAGAGGAGAGAGAAAGAGAATGAGGAGAGAAATAACGAATGACGATCTTCCACGGCATGGTACCACTCAAGTGGCCATTAGCGCAACTCGCTCAATCTCTTTAATGAACTGATCAGAACTAATGACTCCCAAACACACCCTCCCTTTATGCAGACAGATGTAGTGGTGGAATATACAGATTAAAGGCATGTGATTGGTGAAGAGGAACGGACAGGTCTGAGCGATATAGAATAGCGGTTTTGTTTTTCATTTTTGAACCTGTCCCCCAAGCAAAGTCCACTTGGATAGTTTGTTTTCATATTTAAGCCAGAACCGCTCTAATGGAGGTTAATTCGTTTCAAATAATCAATTCCCTCATAATTACCCATGAATCATGGCTAAATATGAGAATGGATACAATAAAAAGAGAGCAAACGACTCAAAGCTGGCCATTTGTCCAAATCTAGCACATCATTACAGCACATAAGACAGAACAAACCATTTTTCCCACTGTCTATCTGTCTCACTCACTACCAAATCATACTTATTGGATGAAGTTTGACAGTAAACAGTCTTGGTATTAGGATGGATGCAGTCAAAAGTCAATTTCCAGCCTCTCTCTACCATAACTCCATAACTTCCATCTTCTCTTTGGCCTGCGTATGCAGCTCAGGTTGGTATTCCAGGTGTGGCGGCCATCATCTTCCTTTGGCAAAGAGGATGATGTCACCTTTCTGGGATGGGACTTTTTTCTGGCCGTCCTTTTTCGGGTGCCATTGTAGCAGAACTCAACCCAACACTGATTACTCAGCGGCATAGATTATGACAGGCCAATCTCTGTGAGAAATAACAAGAAAACATCACAGTCAGGGTTAAGAGAGGGAGAGACAGAGAGAGAAGAAGATGGAAAAATGCAAAAGGATGGAGCTGAGAAGAGTAAGAGGAAGAAGGCGAGAAATTAGAAGATGGAAAGGAAATAAACACTAAAGAAAAACAAGAAAAAATAATAGTCAAGGACGAGTGAAGACGAGAACACAGAGAGGTTACAGAGAGGTGATGAAGGAAGAGAGTCAGAAAAGAGTGAAAGAAGTGGTCATTAAAAGACAGGGACAGACATTTCATAAATTACAAGATATATAAGAGAGATGTTAAAATGCAAATACTACTAACTACAGCACTAACATTAAACTGAGACTGCCTGAAGATGCACTAAGTAATTTTTATTTATGCCACCCTGGCCAGAATGTCAGTCATCACGGAATTCTCAGTTAGCCATGATTACTACATAAACAAAAAGGTCCAAAAAAAGAGAGTTACTAAAATGAAGCAAGTAGTATTTGGCCAAATACAATATTAAAAAGTAAAGTAAATAAAATAAAAATCAAGAGTGGAATAAAATCAGAATTTACTCTGCAAAAATACAGTGCCTCTCTCCTTCACACACACACACACACACACACACACACACGTAATCAGCAGTCCCACATTCTCTGTCTGGACCAATGACTTCATCATCATCTTCATTTACACAGTAGGGAGCTCACAGCAGGACAACTGTGTGTACACTGATGTGGAATTGAAATAAGTAGTGAAAATATATTTCTTCCCGCATCCTGACTTTTACCTCTCGTCTTTTCCTTTCTATCCCTCATCAGTCCATCATTCTCCGTTCATACACACACCGAAACATACATCCTCCTCTCCTCATCAACCCCCTTCCGTCACCTCTAACTGCCCTTAACTATTGTCTCCCCACGTGTTCATTGCCTCCTCTCTCAGCTACGCTTATCTCTGTCCAACCGGTCGGCGTTTCTCCCTCCGCTGCTGTCTCCTCCAGTCCCCGGCTCCATTCATACACCCAGGCTGTGGCAGGCTTATGGCCCCCAGCAAAGCGGTTTCAGAGCACTCTCATTTTCCCCTGTCCTATCAGCGCTGATCTGCTGTCAGTTAACCGGGCCCAGGCCGAACTCTCGGGCTGTTCCCGCTGATCTCCTGTCAGTCATCCGGACCTTCCGTTAGCTTCCTGACTATTCCCAGCTGCTTGTTATTCCGCGCAGGGAGCAATCTGTAGAATGCTCAAAATAGCAGAGTAATGGATTCCTGGCGTCACTGAGGAACTTTAATGCCCATAAGCCGGCTGGCGTAGAGAACTCTGGGCATGTACACTGCTGGGGGACACAGTGGATCTCATTTAGCAAGACTGCATAGTTTAAACTCCCAAGGTGGCCAAAAATCGGGATTTTAGAGCCAACTTAAACCTGGAACGAAGATTTCTGCATACGGAGCATACAACCGGCTCATACTCGCGTGTAATTGTTGCGCACGTTTATAGGTCGATTGGTCTAGTTAGTTAAAAATGAATGTAAAGGGCATGAAATGAGAAGAAGTGATGAATTTTAGATAGGTAAGACCTGGCCATGGGCTTAGAGGGATAATTTAAAATGCTAGAAATCTTTATGGACTAAAGGAACACTTGGCTGTCAGTCATCGCCATGACAACGAGCCACTCCACTCTTTAAACCTCAATGAGCAAGCGAACGAGACAGCGAGTGAGTAAATAGATGGCAAAGTTCACAAGTTTACAGCCCACGGGGAGCTGTCGGACTCTGACACCTGAGCCTCCTACAGACATTTTGCACACGCCTACCACATCGATCATCTCTCTCTCTCCATCTCGCTCTCTATCCGTTCACCATGCAGCCTTTAAATCTCCTCAATCACTCATCCGGCTGAGCAGAGCCCCCTTTCCCGCTGTCCCATGGGGCTACTTTACATATAGAGCTATGGATTGAAACGCCAACTGTTACGGCACCCCATCAGATGAGCTGGACCCAGACAAGCCTTCCTAATATTTAACATTCCACACTTTTTCCATTTAAACCACCTATTTCCATTTTAACCAACGTAATTCCATCAGGACCCATGCAAGCTTTGAGTGCAAAGCCATTAAGGTGTAAAACAATGTAACTCCACTGCAAGAGAATGACAGGATACAACAAAACCATAATGCTCCAGTTAGTCTCAATACACGAGGTGAAAGAATAATTAAGAGATTAAGGAATTAAGGATTAAGGAAGGAGTTTTTCATCTAATATTTACATTTTATTTTATGTCAACTTTTTAATGTCAGATTTAATTTACGAAGAACGTTTTTTGATCATTTTAGTTTAAAATCACAATTTAAAAAAAACTGGTATAAGCCTTTCTTGAAGCCATCAGTCTATTATTTCAACTTAATTTTTGAAAAGGCATGTCTTCTGTATTGTTATGTATATCCAAGTGTAACCGACACAAAATGCAAAGAGGGCATCCATCCGTTGTTGGGTGTTGCACTCAAAAATGAAAGCAAGTTTGCAGTCAGCTGTAAAAAAAGGAACACGGTTTAAGTGGAATAAATGACTGTAGAAAACAAGCATACATCATCAGAGAGAAGTATGACCGAAAGATCAAGTTGACATTTTGATTAAACAGGTCAAAATGTCAAAAAAATGTAACCAATGAAAACTATACACAGATGAATCTTTCACAATAGATCTATGCATTTACAAAATACTGCTGGAACCACAAGAGAAGTGTGTGTTCACTGTTTTACTCCATGATGTTTTCCAACTCGCCTGTAGTATACAGTTTCAAGAAGTGAAACTCATTAGCACCACTATCTGTACTTCCATTGGTAGTCACCACAAAACTCACAAACTTGCAGTTTGTACTACTTCATTGATTATAACAGGAGTGCTCCACTTTTGATGCATCACATCGCTCGCTTCCAGCTTGGACGGAGGTTTTTTGTATTAAAACGAGTTGTGCACTCCAGTCGCGAGAGGTGCTTGTGTAATACTGTAATCCAATTCAGTGAATTAAAAGCACTGGGAAGTTTTCTCTCAGCGTGGCGATAAGAGCTGTGGATTAATCTGCCGAGTGTTTCTGACAGGCAATTTGATAAACAGCCACTTATCTCTGGGGCAGCTGCACAGGAAGAGAACAAATAAATCATCAGAGAGGGAAAGAGAGAGAGCGACTGTATGAAATAGGCTTTGTGTCTATGCTTCAGATGAATGACCATGAACATGTATATTCAATTAAGCATGTATCACAGGAGCTACCTACAGTTCCTACATTACTACTTAGCCTACTATAGAATTTGTGTGATGGACTGGGGTGTTTGTGATGTATGGGCCACATTCACACTGAAGAATGTAATTTTTTGATATTAAAATGATCCTATCCCAGCTGAGGCAGCTATAAGTAAGTCACTCTTAAGTCGATTTAACTGAAAGTGTAAACACTGTGTCTCTGTGGAGCTTTCAATATTTCTGTTTAAACAAAGGAAGTCTTTATTGCATCCTAGACTCATTTTCAAAATCGTGCCTCTATATATTTTTGCAAAACTCCTCTACAGGGGCAGATTACTGATTAATAAAGACTTGTTTTCTTAGTTCATTTCACAACACTACATTATGAGCTCAAAACTCACACAAACCATACTGCATGATTTGTAAACTCATATATTTTTATGTTTGCGTCACAAAATCAGCTCAGTGTGCATGGATTTTCTAGCATAGCAAACTTGCTTGGTAGCTCACCTGGTACACCATTGCATTTGCTGATAAAATACGGTAAAAGAGCTCAAAGAATCATAGAAGCAAGCTGAAATTACATGGTTGCTTCAGCAAATGTGTTTTTATCTTGCGTTTTGCATTTGTTAACAGTTTAAGGTAGGCTTTAGTGTAAGTGGTATGTTAGTTTCAAATTCGGTAAAGCATTAAACTTTAAGCAACACATTTCCTTTCCAAACTGCAAGCGATATGTACAAAAACCAATGCAATAAAATGTTGCCAGATTCACATTAATTAGTTTAAAATAATATCTGAGTGCGCTTTTAGAGCTGCTCTCTGGACACTTTTACTTTGAAAGTGTCAAAAAGCAACATAGAATAATTTGAAAGAAATCTCACCAGAGGCATGTTTTATCAATGAGCTTGGGTTGCTGTAAGAAATAGGCACTAAGCTTGTATATTTTCAGGAATATCAAGGATACAGGATGTAACGCGGGAGGCGTGACAACGGAGTTGAGGATCCAAATGCAGCTTTTATTCACAAGAGTGGTCAAAACAGGCAGGGTCAAACACCAGCAAACAGGTACAATCCAGGGCGAGACAAAAGAGCAATCCAAGAAACAGTCCAAGGTAAAAAAAAAAAACAAGAAGACAAGGCAAGGAAACACAGAGACTTAAAACAGGGTACAGGCTAAACAATAATCAGCAATGTGTGTGTGGATGAGTGCAACCTTTATAGTGTCACTGATAGGAAACAGGTGTGGTGCAATAATGAGTTCCTAGGCAGGGGTTTATGGGGAATGGAGTTCGGAGAGAACCAAGACAAAACCCCTTATCGTGACACAGGATGAGTTATTATGGGAATTTCCCTCTTCTTTTCTTTATTCTTCTTTGCTTATTATTAGTTACTACAGTAAATGATTATATAACCTGCATGTCTGTATAAGACTGAAAACAGGACGTTATGCAGAAAGCTTGGATAATCCTTGCCAGACAGCATCTTTCAGAAGTTAGAATTCTCACTACATATATTATCTCTATAATGATGTAATGTTTGTTCTAATTGGATGGTTATTACACTGCATGCTGGTTTTTGTTTATTAAATAAGTATATAAGCTGATGCTTGCACAATAAAAAAGAAGGTTGAACCTAGAAACATTGTCTCTGTGGCCATCCCTCTTCCCATGTCTATGCATTCTAGACTGAAGGGGCTGAGAGTATTTTATGGAGATAAGGAAAATAATCAAAAGTTGCTTTAATACCTAGAGGAAGCTAACCGTT